CAGTTTGGCTACTTTGGCCATAAATATCAAATTCACTTTAAACTCCCTGCAATTCTCACTTTAGTAAATAATTATGGTACAGAGGATACAGATCAGTTATTATATGGTCACACTTCAGAATGATCTTTAGGTTGAATAAACAAATATCCCTATGAAGCACAACATGTTCTTCTTCCATACTTTCCCAGATGCCTACAATGACTGCAGTAAAGGAGTTGCACGTGATATATGCAACCAGTGGAGCCTATTAAATACAACCCATAATATTCCCCACTTTTTTAAATACAGGCTGTGCAAAAATCTGTGAGTTGTACTTGTGCGGTCTGACATTGCTTTGTTTCATACACCTCAAAGGTTTTAAGCTAATCCTAAATTTGGTGTAATTTTTTCCAGGTACATGTCATTATATACTAATTCTTTTCCTTATTTAATTCTTAGCATTGGGCATTTCTTGATATTCTGTTTCTCTGTAACCAGCTGACAGTGGCAAACGTACGGAGATATTGTGTGAATCTAAGTAGCCAGTCTCTTAGCATAATCTAGAACAGAATCTGAATCCTAGAGAAAACTCAACAAAATCAAGAAAAACATAACTGTCCATATTACCAGCCCTTGAAATAGTCAGACTTAACATGAAGCCTCTATATAGATGAAATGGCAGAAACTTTAAGCAGTAGAATGGATAAAAGAAAAGTCATGGTCAAGGAATGAAGAGTTCAAGATAATGAGAGAACAAGCCAAGGCCAAAGAGTGGAGAGATCAGCATAAACGTGTGGTGTACAAGGCATAGTGATGCACGTATCTCCTATATGAATGGGAACATTTATGATACTGGTTAAACTAGATGTAAAAGTCAAGATGCTGCTAGAATGATGCATGGTGTCACTATGCAATGCACTCAGCAAACAAGCCCTAATCTGCACCAGCCCACATGTTACACACTTCACGTTATATTCTGTTTTATAACTCTGTTAGACATATATTGCAATATATGTTCCTGTTATGCTGTGATAAATTATATTATTTGAAATGCTACTATTATTGTTATATTGCAGATCTCACTTCATCAAATGTTTTGTTTTTTTTTTGCTTTCTTCATCAGATTATGTTTATGATTTCTGTACAGTTACCTAAATTAACTTTTTACATGTTTTAGTATGTATCTTTATGCGGAGTATAAATTCACGTTATATATATTTAAATTTTTTTCAAATTATTATTTCTCTTTTAAACGGACTGTAGCGGAGATACAAGATTCCACAGGCTATCTCCGCTTATAATCCGAAGGGGGGCTCAGGAACAAGTAAATTGTAAATCCACACGCAAGGTTTCCAGCAGGCAAAATAACACAGCAATGTCCCACAGCAATCCCAAAAACTGGACGACACACAGTTTCAGGAGCAGAACTGACAACCTTTATTCCACAGTGCCTTATATAGCATGCTCCCATGCAAGGGAGGGATTTTCCACAATTAGTACATTACCCAATCCGGTATTAGTAACCTCCCACACATCTCCTCCCCTCAGCCTGCATCATAATCCCCTTATACTGTACCCAAATTCCCCCAATTCCTGGATGTACCCCTGATCTGGGTGAGCAACATATCCAAAAATCACCGAGATCGGACCAGGGGTTCGGGAAATTTATGGAGGTACTAAAAAGACCGACCGCGCTGGATAGAACAGCCGAATTGGGTTCCATGCGATGGGGCCCTGCGGTCGGTCACAGTATAAGGGAATGATTTACACGAACGGCTAGGGTTACAGAGATGAGGTAGGATTCACATGAATCCCCTCGTTCAGTTGTTTCCGTCTACCGAACGAGGGGCCATTCGGTAGGTTGGAACAGAACGGACCAGGCTTATGGAGGTCTCAGCGGTGTTCGCCTAGTCGAGTGTCCTATTTGGGTTCCAGACACTCGACGGCAAAACACCGCTGTTCGGGAGGTTGTAAAATGGCCGCCACCACATGTTCGTTTCCCGAATGGCGGCCACCCCGAGACAAAGGACCTCCTGCATAGCTCGTCAATTACCCATTCGCAACATTGTTGCAACGGGTAATTGAAGGCACACTTCACACAGGGGAGGTCTGATTGTTCGGTAGTTTCATTCCCTTAGTTTATTCAAATGATTCTACTGAACAATCAGAGGAATACATTTCTTTTAAACACATATAAAACTAGCAGGTTACACGAATGCAGTTATTCACATGAAATTTGCAGGACAGCCCAGTGCCATCCACTACACAGACTTTGTGATTTTATGTTTGCGTATATGGCCACTAGGAGTGTTTGCTATATATGACTAAGAAGACTTTTCTGAAACGTATTGTTTTTCTACTCTCCATAAGTTAATGAAGGAACTTTGTTTGACACTTTACTTGGTGTGTAGTCTGGGTGTTTTTTTCCTTTCTTCTCTTCCCTTAAATGGACAAAAGTTTAAATAAAAATAGATGTACTTAATCAATATGATTCCTGAGAGTGTAGTACATATATACACGAAAAAAAAATATTACTACTTACCGTAATTTTCTTTTCCTGGTCATAGGCCATGTGAGCACAACAGTGGATAGCTCCTCCCTATCCCTAATTAGACAGGAACCTAATTAAAACAAAAGGTATAGGTACTCCCTCCTCCCCCTCCCACCCTCAACCTGGTTTCCAGCAATATCCCAGGGTAGGATCTTTGTGCTGCCATATCCTATGATCAGGTAAAAGAAAATTATGATAAGTAGGAATACATTTTCCTGTTTCCTGGCCATATCCATGACAGCACAACAATGTGTAAAACCCAATCAATAACTAAGAGAAAGAAAGAAATACACAAGACTTCCACATTATGAATGCAAAGTTATGACACACATCATAAGGACATTGAAAATGAAACGTGACAAGATAGCCAACTAGAGCTATATTGTCACAGTTTGCACCATGCCATCCAGACGGCCAGGCGTGGCTGTTTCACAAGTGGAATTTTACTGTGGTCCTTCTGTGCCATAGTCCTGCTGTCTTGTCTCAGAGTCACACTACAGTTCTTGTTTCAGCCTAATGTTTATCCTCACTTGTCTCCAGCACTGGGGGCTGGACTTTACCTGTGGCTGCTCCTAACTATCTAAGCCCTCCCGAAGCAGATCATTAATTAGCTGGGTAAATAAGCACTGCCTTGCCCTGGGAACTTTGTCAGTTCATTGACTCTGGTTTACATTATTGGCTCCTGTTTCTGTGTGTCCTGATCGTCTGTTCTCCAGATTGATCCAGGTTCCTGACCTTGGCTTTTCTCATCGTTTACTCTGACCTCTTGCATCCCCTGACTTTGGATCCTGACATATATTATCAAACTGACCAACACAAATGTACCAACAAAAAATGCCTAATAAAAGTATTGGATGAGGACCAGGTAGCTATTATACCTATAAGTTCCGGGGAGAGTTGTGCACTGATGCTCAAGCAGGTGAAAAAGTCATAGTAGAGTGCTAAAAGATGTTCAGGGCTTTGTAGCTGGAAATAGTCGAGATAATACATCTGCTGATGGCTTATATAGAGGAACACAAGATAGCGGATCTATAGAAACAGCTCCTAAGACATCTTTCTCAGATAAGAGAAGAAATAGAAGGAAGAATATTTCCATCATTAATATGGAGAGAAATTACTTTATGACTAAATTCAGGAACAGATTTGAAGATCATTCTTTTTTGAATAAGACAGTAAAGGGTTCGTTGTAAAATAGTGCTTGAAGATCTGATATCCTTCTGCCCAATGCTAATTGCACTGCTAGAGCCAACTTAATATTAAGCAATTCTGGAGAGATAGAGTTTCATAGTTAAAGTGCAAAGATTTCAGAGCCCATAAAAACCAGGGAAGGATCCCACATGGAGAAATTAATCGAGGGATCATATAAATACAGCCGACAGATATTTAGAAACCTCCATTTAAAAGCCCATTTACGAATGGATAGATCAGAGAGTGCTGAGGCTTGTACCTGTAGGTGATGTAGCTAAATTTTAGATGACTCCTGGATTAAAGAACTCTAGAACCTCCTTTGTAGAGGGAATTTAAATGATCATCTAATTAGAAATAGACCAGGAAGAAAGGCATCCCAACTCTGTAAAGGTAGCCGAGGAGATACATTTTTCTCGCCTTCAGAAGTATATTATTTATTGCAGTCAAGAAACTTCAATATTTAAGCCTTTCTTTTCAATGGCCATACCTTCTGAATGAGGTAAGTAATACTGGACCTGACCTAGGAGGAAATACATTTTATGGGACTAGGTGACCAATATTGAACTGTCAGGATAATTGATACTGGATCTTGCAACCTACACAGAAGGGAAAGAGCAGAGAACTTGGTAAAAGGGATACCCCAGGTTGATTATATGCTGTTGTATATGTTACTACAGAGGCGTTGTCTAATTGATTTTCACCAATTTGAGCCGTATCTGATATGCAAAGTGCTTTAGGCTTTTGAAGACAGGAGGTCCCAGGAGATTTAAAGCGGTGATGGATGTTAAGGATGTCCCTTTCCTGAAAATATTTCATTTTGGAGAAAAGTTCCCCAGCCCCAGTGAATGGTATTTGTAGTTATCACTAGGAATTTCTAAATGTAAGTAAACCTTCACCATTGTTCCTATATTATCAGACTTATAGTGGAGGACCTGAATAAAAACTCTCTCTGCTGAGGTAAAATGACTTCAAACATTCTTTACTTACTTGATAAGTCTTACTGCACTTTCTGAAGAGAGTTGTAGTGTGCGTTTGACTGTTTAAAACCATGTTACCAGCTATACCTTGTACTCAGAGGGCCCCCCCAAATGCCAGCAACATGTTCTTACATTCTATTCCCTTGGGCTGTAACAGTGTGTTACAGCCCAGGGGAGGGAATGCAGGGCAGAGGAGCTCAGCTGGAACGGTGCTGGGGCTGTCTGTGGCCGGAGGGAGCACTGACAGGCTCCCCTGCAAGGCCCCACCCACAAACAAAGCCATGCCTCCCGCACATAAGCCCCTCCCCCGCTGTTAAGCAGCAGACCATGCTGCTGCTGGAAAGGCAAGAAGATGGCTGTCTGACCCCCAGCAACAGGTAGGCATGATATGCTCAGGTGTGTGTGTGTGTCTGTCTGTCTGCTAGTGAGGAAGCTTGTGTGTGTGTGTGTGGACTCAGCAGTCTGTCTGTGTGTATGGACTCAGCACTCTGTGTGTATGGACTCAGCAGTTTGTGTGTATGGATTCAGCAGTGTGTGTGTGTGTGTGTGTGTGTGTGGACTTGGCAGTCTCTGTGTGTGTTTGTGTGTGTGTGTTGACTCAACAGTCTGTCTGTGTGTGTGTGTGTGTGTGTGTGTGTGTGTGTGTTTGGACTCAGCAGTCTCTCTGTGTGTATGGACTCAGCAGTCTGCATGTGTGTGTGTATGAACTCAGCAGTCTCTCTGTGTGTATGGACTCAGCAGTCTGCATGTGTGTGTGTATGAACTCAGCAGTCTCTCTGTGTGTATGGACTCAGCAGTCTGTATGTGTGTGTGTGTGTGTATGGACTCAGCATTCCGTCTGTGTGTATGGCCTCATCAGTCTGTATGTGTGTATGGACTCAGCAGTCTGTATTTGTGTATGGACTCAGCAGTCTGTGTTTGTGTGTGTGTATGTGTGTATGGACTTAGCAGTCTATGTGTTTGTGTGTGTGTGGACTCAGCAGTCTGTGTGTGTGTGTGTGTGTATGAACTCAGCAGTGTGTGTATGGACTCAGCAGTCTATGTGTGTGTGTACGGACTCAGCAGTCTCTGTGTGTGTTTGTGTGTGTGTTGACTCAACAGTCTGTGTGTGTGTGTGTGTGTGTGTGTTTAGACTCAGCAGTCTCTCATTGTGTATGGACTCAGCAGTCTCCATGTGTGTGTGTATGGACTCAGCAGTCTTTCTGTGTGTATGGACTCAGCAGTCTGTGTTTGTGTGTGTGTGTATATGTGTATGGACAGTCTGTGTGTTTGTGTGTGTGGACTCAGCAGTCTGTGTGTGTGTATGGACTCAACAGTGTGTGTGTGTGTATGGACTCAGCAGTCTCTGTGTGTCTTTTTGAGTGTGTTGACTCAACAGTCTGTGTGTGTGTGTGTGTGTGTGTGTGGACTCAGTAGTCTCTGTTTGTGTGTGTGCGTATGGACTCAGCAGTCTGTGTGTTTGTGTGTGTGGACTCTCAGCCCAGTCTGTGTGTGTGTGTGGACTCAGCAGTCTGTGTGTGTGTGTGGACTCAGCTTGGTGTGTGTGTGTGTGTGTGTGTGGACTCAGCAGTCTGTGTGTGTGTGTATGGACTCAGCGGTCTGTGTTTGTGTGTGTGGACTCAGCGGTCTCTGTGTATTTGTATGGACTCAGCGGTCTGTGTGTCTGTGTTTATATGGACTCAGCCTTGAGTCTCTGTGTGTGTGTGGAGACTCAGCAGTCTCTGTGTGTGTGTGTGTGTGTGTGTGTGTGTGTGTGGACTCAGCGGTCTGTGTATGTGTGTGTATGTACTCAGCGGTCTGTGTGTGTGTGTGTGTGGACTCAACCCGGTGTGTGTGTGTGTGTGTGTGTGTGTTGACTCAACAGTCTGTCTGTGTGTGTGTGTGTGTGTTTGGACTCGGCAGTCTCTCTGTGTGTGTGTGAACTCAGCAGTCTCTCTGTGTGTATGGACTCAGCAGTCTGTATGTGTGTGTGTGTGTGTGTGTATGGACTCAGCATTCCGTCTGTGTGTATGGACTCATCAGTATGTATGTGTGTATGGACTCAGCAGTCTGTATTTGTGTATGGACTCAGCAGTCTGTGTTTGTGTGTGTGTGTGTGTATGGACTCAGCAGTCTGTGTGTATGGACTCAGCAGTCTATGTGTGTGTGTATGGACTCAGCAGTCTCTGTGTGTGTTTGTGTGTGTGTTGACTCAACTGTCTGTCTCTGTGTGTGTGTGTGTGTGTGTGTTTGGACTCAGCAGTCTCTCATTGTGTATGGACTCAGCAGTCTCCATGTGTGTGTGTATGGACTCAGCAGTCTGTGTTTGTGTGTGTGTGTATGTGTGTATGGACTCAGCAGTCTGTGTGTTTGTGTGTGTGGACTCAGCAGTCTGTGTGTGTATGGACTCAACAGTGTGTGTGTATGGACTCAGCAGTCTGTGTGTGTGTGTATGGACTCAGCAGTCTCTGTGTGTCTCTTTGTGTGTGTTGACTCAACAGTCTGTGTATGTGTGTGTGTGTGTTTGGACTCACTCAGCAGTCTCTCTGTGTGTATGGACTCAGCAGTCTGTATGTGTGTATG